CAAATCAAATTAAAGTTAGAAATTTCTAAAAATACAAATAAATACTAGTAACTAAATAAGAAAATAAAAAAATATAGATCGATAGAATTAACTATAGAACCTGGAGCCTAGAAGCCTAGAAATATAAGTCGAAATGCCCAAGGGGGGAAAATTCAAAAATTACTAGAAAATACTTATTTATAGTGATGGATAGTGTACCCGGGGGGTAGCTTATCCGAGGGGTTATTGCGGAGAATAACTAGAGAGAAGTCAGAGCAAACAAGTAAGAGAGAGAGTGTATATTCGATATGTATTAAGCGTGGTTTACAATGGGGGAAAGGTGTGCTATTTATAGTGGTAATAAATGCTAGATAAGGACACGTGTCAGTTTTCTGGTGGTCGAAGGGTCACCTCGACCGGGGTGGCACTGGCACTCGCATGTGGCCGCATTAAATGCGGTGGTTGGATGTGACGTTTGTACTTGGTACGGTGATCAAGGCGCATGTGAAGAGGATATTCTGTCGAGGTGGATGCCTTCGGCTGAAGGGTGCTGAGCCGAAGGCTCTTCTAACCGAGGGCTCCTACCTGCCGAGGGCTGCAGGTGCCGAAGGCTTGGTTTTCAAGCCTCGTTCTCCTATGATGTTTCTGAGCTCGATTCCGTCACAGGTAGCCTTCGGCCATAGGGCCGAAGGCACCCCTTTGCGTATTGTGGGCTGCTCAGAGCTCCATTTTGCTGGGCTTGGCCCGTTTGGGCCTGTTGGGCCTGATTGTAGTAGAGGAAGTATGTGGGTCGGGGGTCCCTGGGCCATATACTCCATCAGGAGTCCCCCACTCCTTTTGCCGAAAGGTACTTGAGGGAAAAGGAGTAGCTGTGGTGATTTCCCCGAAGGCTTCCCTGTCCTGTTGGGCGCCTCATTTTCTCAATTCCCCCATATGTCGAGGGCTGAGAGCTTCCTGAAGGGAGTGTAAGTGTGTTGCTCGTATGTGTTTCTTTGTTGTAGTTTGTACAGTAATGAGAGATATGCATTTGTGTGCTTTGCCGAGGGCATTTGTTGACTGAAGGCTTTGTGTGGATGAAGGCATCATGTGGCCGAAGGCATCATGTGGCCGAAGGCATCATGTGGCCGAAGGCATCATGTGGCCGAAGGCATCATGTGGCCGAAGGCATTGTGTGGCCGGAGGCATCATGTGGCCGAAGGCATTGTGTGGCCGGAGGCATTCTGTAAGCCGAAAGCATCATGTCGAGGGGAGTAGATTGCCATTGTGATCTTGCCTCAACCTGCTGTAGCTGAGAAATAGAAAATTTTTAACATTTGCGTGTTTTGCCGAGGGGAGTCCCCCAGTCCCCCACTCCTTTTGCCGAGAGTTTCTCGAGGGAAACAGAGTAGAGTGATGCATGCCTTCAGCAGGAGCCGCCGAGGGGTGACGCCTTTTGCTCCACAATGGGGAGATGCCTCGTTAAAAACCTCATTAGGAAAAAACCCTGTGGGAAAAAATCCTAATGAGGAAGGCATCATTTTACTGGGCTTGGCCCGTTTGGGCCTGTTGGGCCTGATTGTAGTAGAGGAAGTATGTGGGTCGGGGGTCCCTGGGCCATATACTCCATCATAACAAAAACAATATTGTGGGCTGCTCAGAGCTCCATTTTGCTGGGCTTGGCCCGTTTGGGCCTGTTGGGCCTGATTGTAGTAGAGGAAGTATGTGGGTCGGGGGTCCCTGGGCCATATACTCCATCATATAGTAATATAATATATAGGGAAAACTATCAAATAAGCCCTTGTACTATACCGAAAAAGTTGATTAGGCCCTCGTACTTTACAAACACTCAATTAAGTCCTCGAACTATTAAAAAACGTTCAATTAAGCCCTTTTGGTGGGTAAGTAACCGATTTCCCGGTTAAACGGCGACGACAGCGACGATATGCTCAAACCCCAGCAACGGCGGCTTCCCGGAAACAAGTTACATTTAACCGGGAAACCGGTTACTTACCGACTGAAAGGACTTAATTGAACGTTTTTAATAGTTCGAGGACTTAATTGAGTGTTTGTAAAGTACGAGGGCCTAATCGACTTTTTCGGTATAGTACGAGGGCTTATTTGATAGTTTTCCCTAATATATACTATCCTCCATTCCATAAAAGTTGCAACAGTTTGACTTTCACATTTGCCAACGCCCAATTTTGACTGTAATTATATTTATTTACGTATTAGTAAACATTAAAAATGTTAATATATTGGAAATTTACATTAATACAAATTTAATAATATTTTATACATAATATTTTTATTATATATATTATTAGAAAATCGTAGTCAAGGTAATGTGTGTGAATAGTGCTGAAATTCAAATTTTGCAACTTTTATGGAACGGAGGAAGTGCTACGTATACAGTTTTGGGCCTCTAATTTTTTCAGATTCTTGAGAGCCTAAGCCTAAGCCTCATCAGCCTTACATAAGGTATGGCCCTGGGGCCTACAATGGCTCCTATCTACAGCTACATCCTTGTTCATATATATTCATTGAACAAAGAGTACATTACTGTGTTGGTATTTTAGTTAATACTATCTAACCCCTCAATTTTGTTTTGCAAAATCAACATGTTTTGTTAACTAATGTTAAAGTTAGACACTTCATATGCATAAATAATTCAATTTTAATAAATAAAATTTACATATTCAAAAATTACGTACATTAAATTTTTTATAAAATTACAAAATCAAAATTAAAATTTAATTAAGAACTCATACCCTAATTAAGTGATTAAAATGAAATTGCATGACTGAATGCAAAAAGTCAAATTTTACAAATTAAATTGAGAGAGGGAGTATATATTACATATTTACCGATGTTGCATTTGTAAACTTGTTAGCATATTAGATGAATAAAAATACTTAGGTCTACTTTGCACGAAAAACAACGATCTTTCTTTGTTGGTGTATTTTTGTGGTCTTTTCATAATTGCATGCAGTCTTAACACGCCATATAAAAAGACTAATTCCTAGCTATTTTGATCATTATGTTCCTCCACATTTCACCTTTTTATTACGGCTACTTAACCACTTTTCTTATTTGGACCATTCCATTATCATCTTCAATTCGCCTCAGAAACAACTTTCCATTCACGTCTGATCGATCTACTTCCATATATATTAAACTAAAAATATCAAAATATATAAAATCAATGGTTAAAATTATGTATTCAGAAATTATATATGTTAAAGCCTTGGTGAACCGTACAAAATCTAAATCGAGTATAATAAATGTTTGACATTTAAATCAGACATCGAAACAAGTTAAATTGACTGTGTATATATATATATATATATATATATATATATATATATATATATATATATATATATATATATATATATATATATATATATATATATATATATGGGAGAATTCAAATACAAAGAGGTCTTTCCATGCAAAGTGAGAATTAATCTCGTGCATTCATTTTGAGATCTAATGGCTCAAAATGAGCCAAAAGTGAACTAAATTTGATCCAAAACGTGGTGGCAATTTCGTAATTAAAACGAAGTTTTTGCCATCGCGAAACAGTGCAACAGAAACACGCAAAAGTGCAATGCGGTGAAGAAAAAGTGCAATTGTTCGCATTTTGCACGGGAGTTACAAAAGCTAAATTTTGAGAGGTAGTATTTCTTACAACTCGATAATAATAAAGAGTATTGTTCATTTTGAAATATTTAAAGTATTTTCCGTCATATTACGTATAAGGTTTCATACTTTAATTTTAACAGTTCACGTTAGTGCTTAATTACGTAGTACTCCGTATTAAAGATAGGATTTAAAGATTTAAAGGAAGTCATAAATTATAAACTTGCTGAATTCCAAGTATGCTTTAATTTTCTAACTATTTGCATTACTAAATTTAAGCTTTGCAAATTATCGGAATTTTATTTCTTCTAAAGATTATGTCACTTTCCTTTTAAAGCAAGAAAATGGTTTATATTACTCTCTCCTATTTAAAAGTATCACTTTGTTTTACACACAAATTAAGAAAATGATACTACGTATTGTTTGACACTGTTTTGAGACTTTGACACTGTTTTGCACTATCTTGTTAACCAAATAAATCAAAATGATTTTTTTTGGATACAGTCCGAAAAGGAAAGACATAGTTTCATTTCACACTCAAATTAGATATGTCCAAATTTAATGGAACAATACCCGAACATCTTACGTTCTTACGATAGTATATACTGAGTATATGATTTATGTAATCGTCTAATATTTCTTTAAACAGAATATTACCCATATATACTTTTGTCGTAACAAAATGTTTCATCCTATCTTGCATAGAAACGTGAAAATCATGAGAAAAAAGGAATTGAAACATCATTTTTGACTTGAAAAGTAACTGGTTAGAGAGTTTCCAAAGAGTTTTCATAGAACTTTCAAAATTAAAATGTACTTTTTCTCGAGAGTTTCTGTGCTACATAAGTTCCATCAAGCCCGCCACACAACTTTATTCTAGTATAATCAGTTTTCAGCTCAATCAATCTCAAATTTCTAAAACCACCCGTCATGAACACAAAATCTCATTTATCTTTTGTGTACGAAAACACATTTATTCGTTTTAAAATTTATTCGTATATTTCATACGGAGCATCATTCATCAGAGGCATCTTATATACATCATCATATTACAAATGAATTCATAACTACTCCCTCCGGTTCTGAAAGATCTTTACACTTTCCATTTTTAACAGTATCAGAAAGATCTTTACACTTCCTTATTTGCCTTATTTGGCAAATAAATCTACACAAAACAGTGTCACACAGTGTAAAACAGTGTTAAACAATGTCAAACTATGTTTATTTCCTTAAAAAATGTGAAGTCAAAGTGTCAAGATCTTTTGGAACCGTAAATCAAGGGTCGCATCCATATTAGTCACTACGTATACTTAGAGAAATTAAAGAGAGATGATGGAGATGATGTATGGAGAAAAGTCAGAAAACCTAAACTTATGAGTGAAGAACAAAAATGAGAACAGAAAATACATTCATAATGATTAATAATAGTATGATATGATGGAGATCTGATCCAACTTCTAAACATTCATTTTCTTTATTTTTCCTTTTGGAAAACAAATACACGTATAATAATACACATTTGTATAAATCCCAAAAATATTTTCTACAAAATCGTCTCATACACTATAATTGAGAACCTCACATAATAATGGTGTCAATAATTAATCACCAATCCGGCTAAGAAACAAAAGGGCACCTGCAGGTTTTAAACAGCTCACCGAGCAATTATTATCACATAATAATACCTACCTATTGGAAATAGGGTTTGGGCCACTAGGAACTTCATGAGCACTGGCATTGAAGCAGAAGCTGCCGCAACCATTTTTACCCAAAAATGGTGATGATGATGGAACAATAACGCTATTCCTGTTGCCGTTGCTGTTACTGTTGCGGTTTCTGTTATGGATCCTTGTCCCGGCCTTTAGATTTTCTTGGGGTGGCACCATTGGGGAAAACGATAATGACGAAGACTCTCTACGGGCCGTCTTGTCGATGACCTCATGAGCTTCTTCCAACGAAGACGATGACGATCTCAAAATTCTTCGCGGGTGATCCGCCATGGCAAGTAGAAGAAAGAAGAATAGAGAGAGCAAAACTGTGGCTGGATTATGATGATAATGATGATGGTTGAAATAAGTAGTCATTTGGAAAGTTTGGTTCCATAAATGTAAAAGCCAGCCAACATGCCGCATGACACCAACCTAATAATAAATTCAAAACTAACTATGAGTAAAGTTGATCAACAGTAAAACCAACTCAGATATACTTATATTAATAGATTAAAAGGTATAGCTCATGATCATGTAAATTATAGTTTCTTGACTGTTTTTGGCAACAATATAGATAGATGGGGTAATGATATGGGGCTGATGGAGGGAGCTAAGAAGAGGCTAGGGGAATCTTGAAAGAAGGTAAAGTGTTGGGGAAGAAAAGAAAGAGAAGTGAGTTAGTTGCTTTAACAAAGTCTGGCCTGGTCCCACAAAATCAGAGTAAGTGGTGAAACTTTAGAAATGTTGAGAGTTGATTTGTAGAAGTTAAATAGTAATTTAATCACTCCAATACTTTTCCCACTCAATTCCATGGAAAGAGTACTGTTACACACACATCAAGATGGAGAGAAAAACAGACACTACCTCAAAACTACTCACTTTGTAAGAATGAAGAGGACAATACACAGCACAGCTATGCCCCAAAACTGCTCACTTTGTGCTCAACAAGATTGATTCTAAATCTTCATTCTAACAACACTATTTATAATCAAACAAATGAGTAACACAATCATACTACATAATTCATTTATTCGGACACGGTTTGAATGGTCGCATGATCGAAACTCCTTGCCGTCCAAATCGCCTTCTTCTTTGTCGTTTAGTATTATACTACTTCCGTCCCAAAATTTCATTCCCACTTTTCTTCCCGAGATGTTTGAGCGTTTCTTCATATTTTCATTGAAGAATGACTTATTTGGTTCATATTAATTATACTTCTATTATTTACAATGGTAATTAAATAAGCATGTCAAATGAGATGAATAACGTAACAGAATAACTTATTCTGAATAAGGGTATCAATCAGACTATGAATACTTGAGTATAAGTTTGAGAAAAAAGCCTTTTGTTACAAATCACAATCACTGTTGTAAACACTTTTACACATAAATGGTCATTATGTTTAAGAGATAGATGGAGATTTCTTTGCATTGCATAAAGAGAAATTACCCAAAATAGGACTAAAATTGTTTGTATATTCCAAAACAGGACTATCATATTTTTATTTGCAAAATAAAACTAATTAATGTCATGTTTTGACAATACCAGACTTTAAACATGGTAGTATTTTCCAAACTTGGCATTAGTTACTCCTATTTTGGAAATAAAAATATGATCATTCTATTTTGGAATTTTCAAATTTTTTTACTCTTATTTCGGGAGTTTTAGCTTCATAAATCGTCAAGTGGTCAACTAATCGTGTACATCATAATGTGTACGGAGTTTATTCTTGCGTGTATAGATTGTATGGAGTGTATTTAGTCTGGGATGGAGCCTCATTGGTGCATGGAGTGTACGAGATAGATTCATTTGTCAGTTCTGGGTGATTTTGAGTGAAGTGATGGAATAATAATTTAAAAAAGGCAATTCTATTGTACCTCAAAGGATGAAATATCGTATTTGCAGGTGCTTACCGTCCATTAGACTATTAATTAATGAATGATAAAGCAATGATTTGAATCCGATTAAATGTAGTGTAGGTACCATTCCTCTCATAGATTATTAGGATCCAAACATATATAATTAGGGAGAGATTGAGCTATAGAGAGGAAGATGAATGAATAGTGATATTGTTTGTGTGATAATGATTCTAGGATTTACATGCTCCAAAAGAAGTATATATAGAGAAACCCGGGTCTGGACCTCTAATATGGGCCTGACAGACCCGATTACATAAAAGAATTGATAACATAAAAGGCTAATCTAGAACATCTGAATAATAATGAACAATAATATGAATGACATCCAATAAGCGTGTGTGAGCCGCTGTCCGGGTCCAATAGTCGTGAGACTCGGGTGTCCGAGTCTATATACTCTATCTGGAGTCCCCCACTCCCTGAGTCGAGAGTACTCGAGGCGAAAGGGAGTAGAACTGTGTGCTGATCTATCGTCTAATGAGTAAACTTCATGAAAAAATTGAATTTCTCCTTCTTTGGTTAATGGAGGCGCTAAGTCCCCTGCTCTTCCAGTCCCCCACTCCTTGAGGTGAATGTAGTGAGGTGAAGAGGAGTAGAATGGTGCATGTCTCGTGATGTCTTCAATAGGGGGCCGAGGGTCGACACCTTTTGTCCACGTTGGGGAGATGCCTCGTTAAAAAACTCATTAAGAAAAAACCCAGTAGGAAAAAATCCTAATGAGGGAAAAAGAGTACACCGGATGCTCCCAAAATGAAGCAAAAGGGGTGAGCCCTTCGGCCTAGGTGTGGGCTGCAACGGTGTCCGTCTGCTGAGGGGATGGCCGATACCAGTCTGTAGATGTGAGTAGCTCGGCATGATAAGTAGTCTCGGTCATCAAATAAAGATGACTAGAGACAGTTCGATCGAGTGACCGTCCATAATGTGATGTCTAGGTCATCAAATAAAGATGACTGACAGATGTATGACCATGGGGCCTGTATGAGATACACGTCATCAAATAAAGATGACAGGTCGATATATGGCCGATGGGTCTATATAAGAACTCCACGCCATCAAATAAAGATGTAAGGGCGATGTACGGCCGAGATGCCTGTATGAGAGCTCCACATCATCGAATAAAGATGACGGGGCGATGCATGGCTGAGGGGCGTGTATGAGAGCTCCACGTCATCAAATAAAGATGATGGGGCGATGTATGGCCGAAGGGCCTATATGAGAGCCTCACATCATCAAATAAAGATGATGAGGCAATGTATGGACGAGGGGCCTGTTGAGAGCTCCACGTCATCAACTAAAGATGATGGGGCAATATATGACCGATGAGCCCATAAATGAGCTTCGCGTCATCAAATAAAGATGGCAGAGCGATATATGGCCGATGGGCCCGTAAATGAGTTTTGCGTCATCAAATAAAGATGACAGAGTGATATGTGGCCGATGGGCCCTAAATGAGCTTCACGTCATCAAATAAAGATGACGGAGCGATACATGGCCAATGGGCCCATAAATGAGCTACGTGTCATCAAATAAAGATGATGAAGCGATACATGGCCGATGGGCCCGTAAATGAGCTTCGCGTCATCAAATAAAGATGAAAGAGCGCTATGTGGCCGATGGGCCGGTAAATGGGCTTCACGTCATCAAATAAAGATGATGGAGCGATATATGGCCGATTGGGCCTCTAAATGAGCTTCGCGTCATCAAATAAAGATGACAGAGCGATATGTGGCTGATGGGCCTACAAATGAACTTCACGTCATCAAATAAAGATGATGGGGCGGTATATGGCTGATTGGGCCTGTAAATGAGCTTCGTGTCATCAAATAAAGATGACAGAGCGATATATGGCCGATTGGGCCCATGGTTGAACTCTGGGCTCCTTTAGCCTTTTAGCCGGAGACCGCAAGATGTTCGCTATATCTGAATATGAGGACGAGGCGGTGTATGCCTATCTGAATATGAGGACGATGGCGCTGAGGAGCCGGTTTGAATATGAGGACGATGACGCCGATGAGCCGGTCTGAATATGAGGACGATGACGCCGATGAGCCGGTCCAATATATAATGATGAGGCGATGATGAGTCGATCGTCATATCAAGGCGACAGTCGCTATCCAGGAAGGGAATGGCGAGCCCAGTCGCTAGATAAATACTTTGGCGATTGGGCCGATCTGAATATGAGGACGAGGCGATGATAAGTTGTTCGTCATATATATAGGAGCGACGGTCGCCAATCTGGGAAGGGAGTCACGAGCCTGGTCGCTATAACAAGACTTCGGCGCTGGTAGCCAGTCTTGAGGTAGATAATCATGCCGAGGCCGAGAGGCCGGTCGTGATGTGTGGACGGTGATGCTGAGAAGCCGGTCTGATAATATGATGATGTGGCGATGATGAGCCGACCGTCATATAGAGGGAATGATCACCATCTAGGAAGGGATGACGAGCCCAATCGTTATAACAAGACTTCGGCGCTGGGAGCCGGTCTTGAGATAAATAATCACATCGAGGCCGAGAGGCTGATTGTGATGTGCGGACGGCGATGATGAGGAGCAGGTCCGATAATATGATGACGAGGCGATGATAAGCTGATCGTCATATAAAGGCGACAGTCACCATCCAGGAAGGGATGGTGAGCCCGATCGCTAGCTCAAGACTCTCGACTCTGAGGAAGTCGGTCTTGAGATAGATAATCACGCCGAGGCCGAGGGGCCGGTCGTGATGTGAGGATGCCAGTGATGAGAAGCAGGTCCTATAATATGATGACGAGGCGATGATGAGGCGACCATCATTTAGTGGCGATGGTCACCATCCAGGAAGCGACGGCGAGCCCGATCGCTAGCTCAAGACTCTCGACATTGAGGAAGCCGGTCTTGAGATAGATAATCACGCCGAGGCCGAGGGGCCGGTCGTGATGTGCGGATGGCGATGAGAAGGAGCCAATCTGAAATATAGAGCACCATTGATGGATTATTAGGATCCAAACATATATAATTAGGGAGAGATTGAGCTATAGAGAGGAAGATGAATGAATAGTGGTATTGTTTGTGTGATGATGATTCTAGGGTTTACAAGCTCCAAAAGGAGTATATATAGAGAAATCCGGGTCTGGGCTTCTAATATGGGCCTGACAGACCCAATTACATAAAAGAACTGATAATATAAAAGACTAATCTAGAACATTTAAATAATAATGTACAATAGTATGAATGACATCCTATAAGTGTGTGTGGGCCGTTGTCCGAGCCCAATAGTTGTGAGACCCGAGGGTTCGAGTCTATATACTCTATCACCCTCATTTATTTATGAGGTATCGTAGTACTCCCCTTTAAAAAAATACTATCGTATATAGTTTTTTTTTAACAATGAATTAAAATAAGTTGGGGAAATCAGTAGACTTCTCGTTCAAGCTAGTGATAATATAAATTTATCACTGTATGGAGTGTACACTGTTCTAAAATTTATGTTGGGGAATTAAAATATAGCTATGAGGCTATATTTACCCGTTTTACACGGTTCTATTATAAAAATATAAATTTATGTATTTGCTTTCTTCAAAATTTTCATTTTTAAAATTATGAGGAAATAATGTTAAGTTTTGGAAATGCTCTTTATTAAAAGTACTTTCACAATAGTATATACTAGTATTAATTTTACAACTTTTACAAAATATATTAATAAATGTTATTGATCAAAGTTTATCACTATGTCCATGTTATAATCTATCGGTAGAGAAATGAAAATGTTAGAAATGGGGATGAATTAGTACCAACATGAGATTTAAGAGTTGTGCACTACTAACTTTGTATTATCTTAACCACAAACATAATGTGCATCATCATGAATTAGAATACAATGTGCACTACTTTTCGACGATATTGTACTAAACAACTTTAGGTTGCACTAAAAGTCGCAACTTGAAGTCTTAGCATGTTACACACAAGAATCAATATCGAGCACATTTTGCATATATGAGCCTAAAAATCAGACTTCGACAGTTATAAAATACATAGAAAACATTAAAGACTGAATTATACTTTTTGTGCAGGACTACATTAAAGATACCAAAAGTGCGATCATACTTTTTGTTCTCCTCACAAGACTGAATTTAGAATGTAATGATTTAGAAGAAAACCACTTTCATGAGTTTCCTAATTTTAATTCAAATATGGATATGGTTGGCATGTTCTAAGACATGTTCTCCTTTTGGAAGGTCTTGGGTTATATCACCCTATCTTGATTTTTCATAGTTAAAAGCAACTCCTAGACTTGACATGTCACGATCCTCTTGAAAGAGAGTACCTTCGCGAACGTGGACATAGGTGGTGCACGGCTGTCATTAGCTCATGCCTAATTATTCAATCTTTTGGCAGAATATCTACTCAACAATTTAGCGATGTCTCAAAATTCAAAAATAGAACAAAGGGAAAAGGATAGGTTGAAAACTTGAAATGGGAGACCCAATTTTTTTTATCCCGGAAGGTAAACCACCAAAATCAATGGGAGACCCTTAAAGAGGTTGTTGCATCTGTTCAATATATAATGACTTTAGCGAACTTTGGGTTGTTAATATGATAAGTTCATCAATGGTTAACAAGTATGATGGTATGCCTTATATTTATGATGCTCTGGTAGTTCAAGGGCGAGACAGTCAAGAAACAAACGCGAGTTCAGCAATTATGGAGAAATAATTGACAATAGTAGTCTGAAACGAACCATAATATGTAGTAGTTTACTACCTAGTAATTTTTTCTAGTCATAAAAAGGGTATGAGTCCATGCACATATGGACAAGTTTCCTCTGGTATTGCTCATAAAAATCACCTACAGCAATAACATCTTCATTCTCTGGGTTGAATACTCCCCCCACCAAATTCATGAGCTTATCATTCACCAAAGATCTGGATTCATCGTCCAGTTCCGTGCTGGACAAGAGGAACTCCCCATGTATTTCCCGGCAAGCAAGAATAAAAAGTGCTGCTGTGTCTGGTTGCTTTGCCTCACGAAGTGCTGCCAGTGCCTCTTTCAATGCACCCGCTGCAACATACAAGATCAACGCCCTGCAGTTCAATATCCCTCTTTTTATTTCAAATGTAAATCAATAAAGATGAAATGGCTAGGTCCAGCTCATGAAGGAACGTCGCAGTTTCTAGTCCAAACTCAATTAACAATAGTTATACACATGAACATTTAATTCAAAGGTAGCAATGCAAATACAGGAATACTTTTGCGGGTATTGCAAGATAAAACAAATTTTTGTTAGCTTGATATTGTGTAGCGGGTTTGGTCAGTTTCCAGCATTAATCATACCTCCAGATATTATGCTCAGAACGCAGCACATTCTCGGCCCACCTTTGCAAAACCCTTCAAGATTAAAATGCAGAAGAAAATAAATCCAATAGGCATCTTATTCTACAATGAATGTTCAATAAACTCTTTGATGTCATTCACATCTGACTTTCAAAGTAAAAAATACGGAGTATATGAGGAATGGGAAAGATATTTTTATTATGCTGCAGAAAACTGTACTGCTTGATGGATACATGAGTTCTAATGTTGCCAACTCCCACTGTCAAAGAGTGCATAGCTCTTCAAGAGTGTATATTGCTGTGACTCTTCTTATCAAATGTGTAAACATTATGTTTGAAAAGTATCAGAGAGCGAACACAAGCTTCTTAATATATATGTAACTTACCGTGCATAATCAGATCCTTTTAAATGTGTAGCAGCTAATGTTGCAGCAGCTGTCCAACATCCGGCATCTTGTAGCTGCCGTTCAGAGAGCACACTGTTAAGAATCAGCTAAAAATAATCGAGACAATGTATCATCTTAATTTTGTCCAACAGTGGATGTTTATTGGTTTGAGTATAATATACAGGAGTTAAGTAAATTCTACCTCTTGAGGACCATTTGGGGAGAGTTAAACCAAATTTAATGTGGTATCAGATGTCTAATCCGGCTGCAGATCATTTTGGGGTGAGTTGGGATCCAGTTTAATTTATTCAATTCAATTATGCTATATGCTTCATGGGTACATTAATATGCCTGGTTCAGGTAAGGGTCATCTCTAAGAAACTATAATAGCATTGGTAACCAAGATGCCTCTTCAATAATTTTCATATGAATAAAGTTTTACATTTTGGGTATATAAACCTTCACACATTGCACATAGAGATTGGTAGTTTAAACTTTAAAGATAAATGTCAAAACTTTAAGAAAAATTTCAGGGACAAAAAAGTATACTCTGAAACACAAGGGACAACCGGACAACATTGAGAAAAATAAGGGGTAAAATGGAGTTTTATTTGACAGTGATACCTTGCACAAAATATATTTAGGGTTGCAAATGAAGTGTTCATCAAACTATTTGCAGATACATTTGGCCGAAACTCGTTTTTTTCATTAAGATAAATCAAAAGACATTATAAGCAAGTTCTTATGTTCCTCAACGGTTTATTTGGTACGATATATTAATAAACTCATTCACAATTAGAAAACATATCAAGTCAGAACAAGTTCAATTGCTAAATATTGACATAGCTAACTTTGAGTAATATTACCTACTTTAAACAAGTGCAAACCTTGTAAAGAGTTCAAAGAAACCTATAATGAATGAAGAAATCTCGGGCAGGGTGCAGCTTGGACCCGTAAGGTTAAAAGTTATGTGTAGGACTGTAAGTCTGTAAGTCCTGACTAATAATGCTCACAAACATAATATATATGTAATAACGCTCCTACATTAAATTTTCAAATGATGTTTTCCATCTTAACTAGATCACTGTTTTGATAAGGTCTAAAATTTATTTTTTTATTAAAATGTTCTTCATACATAGCCCCTGATGTATGTAGTAAATACATTCCAATGGGCCAAACAAGTATTACACATTGATAGTATTATCAATACCCTCACAAACAGTTTCAAGTTTTAGTTACAATGGAATGCTGGTTTTATAGAAGTTTTTAGAACAATTTTGGCATAAACCATCCATGTGTCTATGCGGGGTCCATCAGTCATTAGTAATAAATACAATGAGACTACCAGATGAAAACATGTGTTCACATACCTGAGAACAAGCTTCTTGGTACCTTCCAACAGCACAGAGTAGATGTGTGCCAGATAAAGATCTGTCTGTCCTGACCATATTTGCAGCAACAACCTACATAGGATAGAAAAGGGGTATTACAAAAGAGAAAAATTAACTTATTAAAGATACACATGAATGTTAAAGAGAAACATTTAAGTTATTAAAAATATACATTTGGTCATTCTCAGAAAGGAGAAGCTATAAAATGAAGAAAAATATTCTCCTGGACATTCTATGGACAAAAATAGAACAACTTTTATTTAGGACAAAAACGTGACTCGAGGTGAGAAAAAATTGTCACAAATGCCCCCATGTATAACTGCAAACCCGGAACCGAAAATGTAATGTTCTTCCTGCAGTACAGCAATGCTGGACATCTCTCTCCCACAGCTCCAACAGCGGGTGGCGGTGGCGGGCTCTGTGTGGGCGGTGGAAACGGCGGTACTCCAATTATAACGGCGAGCCAGTGAGCTCGTCCAATGACGACAGACATCAGCCTCCAGGGTTGCTCCAACATTGAGAAACGGATGGTTCCTGTCGGGTGCAGCGGTTCAACGACGAGCCCGTGGCTCTGTGCCCCGCCTCTACCACGCCACTCATCTCCTTATTCCTCTTCATTTTCTCCTTTTTTCGGATTATTGAGAATGAGAATTGTCTATTTACGGAAACGATAAGAAAAGATTGGGGGTAGGAGGGCTGATTGCTGGCAGTCAGAGGCGACTTCACATCACGATTGGGTCCGGCGAATGAGCGAATCTTACAGTTTCAAGCGGATTTTGTCCCATCCCTCTGTAGGTTTCCGGGCTATGGGGGACCGCCGATGAATGCACTGCCGGTGGTTTAGTGAGGGGTTATGGGGGTAGATTCCTAGGGATAGGGTTCCGCAAGATGAAATCACTGTAGGTTGTCTAGTGAAGAGGGTGGGTTCACTGGGCAGCAGTGTAGACAGAGTGCGACGGTGTTACTGGCCTGAAAAATGGTGGTGTTACTGGACGACAAAATGGCGGTATTACTGGCCGAGAAAATGGCGGTGTCACTGGCCAGATCGGTGTCACTATCAATGCCGACTGCGGTGTCATGATGGGGTAACTAGGCTTAGGAGTGATAATTTGTTGTTTCTGTGCTCCAAGTTTTTGAATTTATTTAGTAACTTTTTTAGAAATGATCTCTTTATTTGTTCATATGCGATACTTGAGTAATATGAATGGAAAATCCCCTAAAATGAGACAAGTACAGAGTTACCTTCACTGCTAGTTCAAGTAAAGATGCTGAAACTGCAGATGAAAGAGCAACGGCGCGCAATGCATTTGCATAGAAATAAGAGCTCTCCGGAGGTGTTGAAAGTAGTAAACTAACAGCGCCTTCTAAATTTCCAACAGATATGAGTCTGATAATCATATGCATTATAGCAGGCAATGACGTTAAAAAGATGCTTTAAAAATGAATAGCTTCATATACTACAGAACAGTTGCAAAATAGGATGTGCACTAGGAAAAGCAATTGGTGAACGTGGAAATTAACCATCAACTTCTTATTTTAGAATAATAAGACTCTCTTTGATATAAAAACTTCATCTTATGACTTCATTGTCTGTATATACTAATACACTACTTATATAGGCAAATAACTGCCCCAAGTGTAGTGGGTTAGACCCTAGGTTTCTAAACCATAGGTGTTCTATTGAGCTTGATAGAAAACTAGAACTATAAACTCGATACTGGAAACTTGAACTTCACTTTTACTTTGACAGGAACAACTTGAATGTCAAGCTTTAAATTGAACCTTTGGTGGCTTGGTGCCCACATGAGTATCCTCAGCCTAAAGATTTACTTCACTTTTACTGAAATATACTTTCAGTCAACATTACTCCAAAAGCCTGAAACGTTCCTTTTTTTTATTTCCCCTGAAACAGACGACAAAGAACAGAAAACACAAAGTTGACAAAAAGATTATGAAATTTTCACCGTATGGTCTTAGGAAAAGGAGAACAGGAACAACCACGTGCTGGTGCATGGAAGTGCATGGTCATAACTTAGCATGAAGTAGCCACTGGGAGGACCTCTCAGCACGGGGTTCTAAGTTTCAGGATAAAGTGATGGTGTTCGTTTTCAAAACAACCACTGAAGTGTGTGGGGATGAGAAACTCTAGTTTCATGACACGCTTCATTTCCGTAAAAAATAGAAGGGACTACGGCTAAGATAATTTTTTTTTCAAAAATTTTAGCGTAAGACTATGAAACCATGCAGAATAATACGACCGTCATTGTTATTAAACTCAATTTGCAACTTCATTATATTTTAAAGACTACTATACTGTTGTAAAATTACATCATTTCTCTGATATCATTCCGTCAACAGCAGGAGAAACTCTGATTTCCCAATATGAGAATGTTTTTCCATCATTTGCAATGGAGCCAAAGACTCACTATGTTCTGGCTTGAGAATATGATGGAATAAAGCAAAATGGCTCACTAAACTATTTGCGCTTCTTTGTTATGAAGCAGCACTCAGTCCATGCAATTTTGGACGCAATTTTCACTATGGGTCATCCGGAAACAGTCTCTATATGCTTTAGTACAGGAGTAAGACTGTGTACATCCGACTCCCCCCCCCCCCCTACCCCACCATAGGTGGGAGCCTTTGTGGCACTAGGGTGATGATGATTACAGATTTCAGCCAGAGTAGAATTTTTGGTAAAGCCTTATATTACAGATAAGAACCACAGTTCCTGAAATTAGAATCTAAAAGTACTGCATAGAGCTTTTTCTCTAACACTTACAGCCTCATCATTTAGTTGAGGGCAATTTGAAGTTTTATCTTACCAAATTTCTGTTTTAGACTACTCAGACCGTTTTGTTTTCATATAAAATAGGTTTTTTATATATAAGGTGGATACATTATATAAAAAACACAAGACAGACTACAGTAAATCTAGAATTCCTTGGAAGTCCAGAAATTTTGAAGTGGAACACAGTAAACATTTAAACTCAAAAAGATTCATCTCAAGAAGTTTTGGAGGGACAAATTTTCTCAGGTCGGAGCTTTGGAGACTACTCAATAAGGATGATTCAGGATCTAAGTAATACATAACTGGAACCGATTGGTAGGGGAACCTGGAAAACTTGACCACCAGACCACTTGCATAATTATCACAGTCAACAAAATCAATTTCACAAAAATGACGAATAAATTCACGTTCACAATCACCTGGCATTCTTGTTTTGGTTGGGTCCTATTCCGTATCTTTTATTTATATTTTCGATATGATTGAAAATTGAAATCTATTCCAAACTATGAATATAAATATGTAAAGATTTGGCCTCTTGGCCTAACCACATGCATAATCGGCCTAAACATATCTTGCTATTGCTCAAGTACCGCACATTTTACTCCATATTTATCTTGGTTTTGTTTGAATATTGCATATTTAAAAGGAATACAGAAACCATATTTATCTTGCCTAGTGCGCAACCATGCTCAATCTCCAAAAGGAATACAGAAACAAAAGAAAAAGACCAAGAAAAAATAAAATGGAACTCCTAGGATATATCATACCGACCTACCAACCTACAAACACAGTTGCTGAAACCAAAATATAAAACGGTATAATAACTAATACAAGAGTAGCAGTGAAACATACTCACTCGTGTACACGATTTTGAATAGCCTCTTCACCTTCGAGCTTCTCATGCCAAGGGATGCGCTCATTAGCACGCTTCCACAACTCTTCTTGTTTGAAGGCCATCAAACCAAGTTGACTGCTACTCTGCCAAAAAGTTGTGCAATTCACAGTAATGATTAGTGAAACATGCACTGAGGTCCTTGGATGACATGTATAAGCAAACTATTATCAACAATTCTTGCTCTACAATTTTTTTGTACACGCTTTTGTACATGCCATCTATTTTGTCTGGGTACACAAACAACTTCTGCATTTTGTTAGACGAACTGACTGTGTACACACGCAAAATAGGGGATGGTGTACAAAAACGTGTACAAAAGGAAATTACCAACTTTTATCAACAGTCGAAATAGCAATACAATATATGAAGTCAAACTTAAAAGTTCAAAGTAGCAAACTTTTAAATGGCTACCAGAGTCCCTGAACCTGGAGCTACTTTTCCCTTTGATGATATCCTATTCAGCATAGATGCATCATCAATCTCTGAAGCAAATGCTGATTGGGGAATTTTAAATACAGACTTTTTAACCAACTCATTCATCCAATAATTAAGAGCTTGAGGTAACTGCAGCCAAAAAAAGGCTTCCACTGGTTCACCAAATACTGCAGCAGCGAATGCAAATCTCATTGCACAACCTCTGTTGACAATCCCAGCATAGAGTCTTACGCTCTCATCATCAATTATACAGCCTTGGACACAAATGGTGGAAAGTTATAAAAACATTACACAACAATTGTTACCAACAAGGTACTAATTAGACATCAAGCATGCAAATGCTCATATATACCGAGCACTGTACAACATTAGACTATCAATACCACACCTTCTCTACGGTAAGGCTCCAATACTTTAAGAAGCATCTCGGGTACCACAGAATCTCCGAGATATGCTGAATCAATCATGTAACCACGTAGATCACCGGTTGATGAGGGATTCTCAGGAGTTTCATGATGCCCCTTAGTTGTGGCAAATATATTGAACCAAGATGGCTTTATACCCAGCTGTAATATTGTACGCAAAGCCTGTAATAATAAGTAAACAAGAAAGCAGAAAATCACTGGTAAAGATTGTTCTGAGAAGAATCTTCCATGTTTTGGTATAAAGAGAATGGATATTCCACCAGAAAGTTAGAGAAATTGAATGCTCCGCCAGTTTAGTTGAGAAAGAGATCATTGACACTATTATCGTGTCTAACTTTTCCATCAATATATTTTCATTTTTCTATAATAATAGATGCACCTGCATTTTTTATTTCATCAGATTACTGAATCCAGTACACCTCATGTTTATTACTTACCACATAGATCAAACCCTTCTAGTACTGGGAATTGGGTTGCCACATGCCAATAATGATACTTAAAACTGATTCCCCATTTTACTAACCACAGCTACAGCTCTAATAGAATACAGTAGAGAGAGAAAATGATAGAGGGATAATATTCTCATTAGATTGAAATGAAGTGTACAGAGAGTTTATATAGAGGACTGCTCAACTAGACTTAACTAACTAACTGAACTGCAACAGACTTATACTTATTACAATGCGTATAGTATATCTAACAAGCTCAAATGCTTTTGGATTGTATCTGATGCATAGTTTCAAGAGGAGGATTTAGTATTCAAATGCAAATTCAAAATAAACAAAAGTGACATTTTTGCCCCCCCCCCATTATGGGAAAATAGTAGTCCCTATATTATTGGTATCTGCACTTTTAGTCCTTCGATAGTCATTCAAGTGGTGTATTTAAATGTTAACTTCTAACGGAATTTGTTTAAACCTATAAAATTTTAAGGATACGACAATTCTTGCATCAGATGATAAAGAAGCACCATTAAGACTTGCATTCCCAAAGTAATTAGCAATTACAATGTTTTTGTATATAAGATTCAATCCATGAAAATGGGAAAAGTAGAATTGCCAAAAATTATTGTATTCATTTCGAACTTTTATGATATTCATAATTTTTTCCGCTATAATTTTCTAATTTTATGAACTTATGATGAAAGTAAGACTTCTTTATTATTTTGTGTATTACTCTGTATGAGGAATGATCCTGTCTAGCTAGATGGACAGGACTCTCCGTCCGGCCGCCGCTGTTTGGGGAAGTTCCCGGTGGATTTTTTTGATGAATTTTTTTGAGCATGTTCTTTGTGAAGTGTAGATTATGCAAAAAGAATCAGCTTAAAATTCAATCGGAAGTCAGTTAAATAAAATATTGAAACATATTACGCCGAACTATATATATAAAAGCGCAATGTTTTTCAGTAATTTAATTAACTGCCTTCCCAATGAAATTTTTAGCTGAAAATTAGGTGGACATATCTACACTTCATGAAGAACATGCTCCAAAAAATTATCAAAAAATTCTACCGGGAACTGGCCCAAACAGCGGCAGCCGGACGGAGCATCCTGTCCGGAAGGATGGACAGGATCTTTTTCCTACTATGTATATGTTTTATCTGATTAGTGTTGCCAAGATTGATAAATTCAACTATAGGAATGTATATTTTCACTTTATACTTGTCGAAATATTTTATTTATTTTAGATATTTGGAGTGTCACACTTTAATATTTTGTAAACAAAGACCAGAAGTCCATGATTATAAACCATAATTCATGTACAAAAATTCCATAGAACATCTACTAAATTCTCAAATATTCATATAATGAAATCCACACACAAATAGTGTCATGCACTTATGATATGGGATTTATTTGGAAGAAAAGAGAAATTAAATTTTCCATGCATGAAAATACACAAGTGCCAAGAGGATAATAACAACTAAAAAAGAAATATGGCATGCATATCTATGAGGGACTAAAGTTGACACACCCATAATTGAGGTATTATAACTTACTAAGTTACTATTAGGGGACCAAAGTGTCATTTCCCTTTTTAAAAAGAAACAGAAAGGCCTCTGCAAATGTAGCTTATAGGAAAGAGCAAATAGGAGTTAGTAACTTACAAAGGCATGTGATGTAGGTAACAATATGGGAGAACATAAAGGCACTGGTCGGAATTTTTCCTTTATTGATGTACTTTTCGGGGTGCCATATCCCGTTTTTTCAGTTCTGCAAAGCAAAAAAACTACTGTAAATGGATGGGTTTTTAAAGGTTTGGAAGATATGTTGAGGAAACAAAGATACCAGCCAAGAGAAAATGAGAACCAAATAATGCAACAAAAGATTAATTTCCAGCCAGCTTGAGATTTGGGAAGGCATCAACCCTTTTGTACTTGTGTAGAATAAAGACTGTACAAGGAGGCATATACAAAACTAGAGCTATACAAAGTGGGCTAAGCACAATACAACTAGGGTAAGGGTTTAACCCCCCGCCTAAATGGGAGATATGAATCATATGCACCAACGTTGTAACGAATATATTCTATTCTGAAGAAACTTCATAAAAACATCTACAAGTTAATTGGTCGTGTTTATTTTGCTTGTGAATATGTCATGTTACAAAAGGTGGTCAAGTTCGATAAACACTTTTCTCAACAAATTCAAACCATCCCTTAATCATGGAACATGTTAAATGTTATTATTTCTGCCTCATGGACGTTTTCCTGCTTTAACTTCACATGATTTCTTCTACAAGAGATATCAGTATATCACATGGTCTTCTCGTTTCCTTTCCAACATGTAACCGAAGGATAACCAACATATCAAAACCTCACAATGAGTTGCATTTACTAGATACTATGAGCTAAAAAATTTAAATTATACACCCTTCCTTGTTTAGACTGCTCTTTTTTTATCAATCTGCGCTTGAAGTGTAAATAAGATGTGTTGATGGTTTAGTATTTCGCTGCAACCTTGCATTCGCCAGAAGACGGTTCTGTAACCACTTACCTGAGATCTCACTTCTTATAAAAAGGGCAATTGGAGATCAGAACAAATAAATTCAAACTCAATGAGATCAGAACTTTGATGTGTGATGTTTTCTCTACATATATCACACTCTAACTGCTATAGATAATGATATGATAGTCAAAATTCTATTCAAACCATATGCCTAGTGACACCTCATTACACTTGTTAAATCGAAAAGAGGGATATATCGAACTGTTAACAGAATTCACATAAATGACAAAGAAAGCTGATTGTAAACTAGGACAGTTGTTGGACTTACATGTCAACTTCAACAAGACGAAAGCTACTATCAGCTCCAGCAATGCATAATACAAGTGGATCACTTTTATTCATTCGTAAAGGTAACCAATCAAGCTCCAAGACTAGAGTTCCAAGAAATTGAGGTTGTAAAAGTGAAATAGCTAAGGGATCGGGTGAATCCTGCAAATCACACATTATGTGTTAGACTTTGCTACAACGTGCACCACTATAAACTCCTTTAACCATGGAAAGTACGGGGAAATGAAAGAAGAAGAAAGGAGAAAAATAGTGGAACTCATCTTCTTACTAAATCAAAAATAGAATATGTGTTATCTTTAAATAAAACTGCAATGCGGCCCAAGCTATGATCTCCAGAAACAACTGGAGCAAACTTAATTCTCCGTATTCCTTCCCTGTGGGTGTTAAGCGATGATGACTGGCCAGTACTTACATCCCACCAACGTATATTCCCTGACCTATCCCCCATAACCTGGGTGATAATTACATTACTGCCTTTAAATAGGAGATGTGAATATAGAAACATCGACAGGTTGGCAAGGAGATTAAAGATTGATAACTACGCACAACATACCACATGAGGAAGACGATAGGCCATAGCTGTCACTAGTCCATCCGATGTAGCAAAGGATGAAGAAGGCCACTTTGGTCTGTGAAAAATCAGTGCCATTAAATAGTAGAGTTGGGCAGTATTAGTAGAATGCTAGTATAACAGAGAGAAACACCATATTCTGTAACAAAAGTTACTATGAATATAATAGTAAATGTTCCTGAACGTTATGCCAGGGAAGGAAAAAAATGAGCTTTTACGCCAAATTTAGAAATTGATTCATGAAATTTAAGATGTGTGTCGTCACTAATAAGTTCAATTTTTAGTTGAGGTGAGACATTAATTAATATGGTACCAAAGCATCAAATCTTGGTTTATTGGATCCAATTTGTTTCTATTATGTCATCTACTGAGCCTAGATCCATCTTCTGTTGAGGGTGATACAACAACACTCAATATCAAGATTTCTATACTAGAATAGAATCAAGAAAACAGGAAGTTTATTCACAATGTTTCAGCAAGAATGAAAAATACAAAGATGAACAATTCTGGACGATTTCGAGAGTGCCAGAGCTCTCCAGGTTCTGAGTTCTAACTGAGTAACAGCTTGCCTCTTACTCTACTCTCACCCTTTTTATTTCTTTCTTTTCCCATCTAACTTCCCACCTGTCTAACTAAATCTTTATTCTACTCCTTCGTATACTCTGAGTCCTAACAGAGGGTAATAAATATAATGTGACCAAATATTAAGGATCACCGCCTCCACTTAAAGAGCTAGCTTTTGTGCTATGTAACAGCCTAACAGGGTTTCCCATCATTATATGATGTTAATCACATGGTTTATGCCAAAAAAACTAATTCATTCAGTAATGGTATTGGTATTATAATAGAAAACATAATTTTCCAGTTGTTGGGATTGGCCTGGATGTCTAAAGCAATTCACAATCAGAACCCTTTCTTGGATCAGAAATATTCTCACTCAAATGCCTTTTACAACCAGTGATTGCAAAAAAGTGTTTGCCTCTCTAAAGTTGAGAAGGTAAACAGCATTAATATAAAGCATTCAGTGCTCATACATTAGAAGCCGTGTGAACACTTGAGCCAAATATTTAGAGCAGATATAAACTCCATTATGAGTTCTGTGTAACCCCATAACAAACAATACCTTCATAGCTTTCCATTTCATGTGAACACTTCATGTATTCTTCATCATGTAAGTAGGATATAAGCAAACTCTCAATGTTATGCATACCAAGAAATACACACCTGAAGTCTCGGATCCTTCGTCCATGAACCTCAAAAACTCCAAGCGCCCCATTTACCAATGCAAAAGCAAAGCTTTCAGAAAACTCATCCTGCGATCCATCAATCCCAATCCCTGAAATAAATTTATCCCTTCAATCCCAACTATGTTGGATCTGGTGGCATGAATGAATTATAGTGTCAATCAGTTGTCAAATTATTTAATACTATATGTTTAAGAAAAAATAGTGTCGAATGTTTTAAGTTGGATGACCTTCAGGTCGCAACCTTCTAAGGAAGAAATCATCATCACCACCTTGATCACAAATATGTTGGGTCAGTGACATGAAATTTATGTTCAACCAGTTATTCAACACTATATTCATGCAACAAGACTACTGGCAAAGTTTTACGCCGGATGCACATCCTATCAAAACTTCACAAGATAGATTTTAGTCATTTTACTAAGTTCAAAAACCCCGTCATATACATAGATTTGTCAAGTTACATAAGAAAAATCATGAGACTGGAATGCATTGAGAGTATTGTTATAAGCATGTCCCATTACAAAACTGATTTGTGAGAATTAACATGCAAAAAATGAAACGTGACTGACTACTATAAAAGGAATAACGAAATGATACTCCAAATCAGTCGCCCAAGAGTTTTCTTTAATACTCGGAAATTAACAAAACAACAACTGACAATGAGTTAATATAGTGACATCCCATTGTAAAACTGATATAGTAAAGTCAACACCCATATCATGAAACATGAATGGAATGCATTATATCCTTCCTACAAGATTATCTACTCACATTTATGAATTTGAAACTCCAATTAAGCAAAGTTATAAAGACAGGAAGAAAGAAAAGAGAGAACACAAATTTAAACTCACTAGAATCTTTAAAAGGTGCACTACACGAAGATGTGTCTATGGAAGATGTCTCAGATGAAATCATGGTTGAGTGCTCCTTTGATGATGAGCGTGGAGTTATTGGAAGAGTCCATTCTAGTACGGTGAAAGGCAGAGCTAAAGATCTCAGCTGCATGATGAAATTCAAAGAACCAAACATGCAATCCTTGAGAATAAGACATCAAAAGAAATGGAAGTAATTGGGACCAGAAGCACCAGAAACTTATTTGGAATCCATATATTCACTGAAGCATGACAAGATCTTTTTGTTTTGGTTACCATAGTTAGCATAAAGAACACAATGCATGTCATGATGATGATGAATGATACGAACATATAATCATTACAATGGGATAGCGAATTTTGGAAAGTTAGGTTGAACAGGTACAGAAGAAGAATTAAAGCATTTGTATAACTGAAGATGGTGATTAATATATTCCTTATAGATGCTAATAAGTTATATGACTAGAGAAAAATTGATTGCATTTCATAAATTTTCCTTCCCAATATCATGTGCATTGGGAAAATTGGGTGTTAATCGCTATGAGACCTTGATTGTGTATCCCAACATCAGACCATGTTACATACATCATATATTCTAGATCATAAGCTGTCTTTTAGATTATATGGTGTCTTTTCAAAATGTTCTGAGTTTGGGAGATCAGCATATCTATAGTCGACTTACTTCTTGAAAAAATGAGCCTTTTTCTTGAATCTGGCCATTTGTAGCTTATGCTTTTTTCCTGTTTTCATACCTACTTTAGCTTGTAAAACCTGTTTTTATTGCATCTATACGAATTTAATTATTTCACAACCACATCTCAGATTTTCAGAAAACACTACACAAAGAAAAACTGTTTTTTATTACTACCTCCGTTCTTAAATAATTGCAACAGAAGAAATTTTACACTATTCACGTGCTCTACTTTGACTATATTTTATTCACGAATGCATTAAAAATTATTTTTTAAAAATATACTACCAATTAAATTATTCTCACTTTAAATTTTTAAAATGTGAATTTTTTGAAATTTTTACAATTAGGGAACTAAATATATTAATGGTCAAAGTTGTGCGTTGGCAAACGTGAAACTGGAAGCGTTGCAACTAAAAAAGAACAGAGGAAGTATAATCCATTATTCATTTATTCATAATTGATTTTTGAAATTATCTAAATTTCGAGCTTGCACTCTTAGGAATAATGAGAGAAAGGTGTGTATTGTGCACATGAACAGTAGGATTGGAAACACACTTTTCTAAAATTGCTTTTTTCTTTAATTTGATGCAGGAGTTATGCATATTAGGTCCAAACTTTGTATATTGAAACACCATTTCATATGAAATAAGTTCAAATGAAATTTTCAAAATCCATTTTGATAAATTTTTCACGAGTAAAATACATTCAATTGGTGGGACTCCAGAAGCATTTTGATGACACATTGACACCCAGACAGAAAAGTGTTCAAGAAAATTTTTTAAAACAGTTTTTCAAACCAGAACTATTACCAGTGAGACAAAGCAAGCCTTTGCTTTCTACGGAGGGCAGGAATGAAATATTTTTATATGCTTCTTAACAATCCAAATTCCCCAGTGTCAATATCTGACTATCAGTCTGTAAGTCTGTTTAACCTATACCACTACACGAATGAGCAGACTTACCATCATAGGACTCTTTGTCATAGCCCAAACTTCCACTGGAGCATCACGGAACAAGATCAGAAGGTACCTACAAAAATTTGTTGGCTTTGTGAATCATTCTGAAAAGCTGTTTCATACTTTACTGTTATCAATTTTGGTAAAACAAATGCAAAAACTAACTGAGTATTCTTAGTTGCTAGGAATAACCCAATGCATAAACTCCCTAACTGAGTTCATGATGTGCATAGATTTTTCCGTAAAATCGTATCCAGGACAAAAGAATGATATACATTAATCACATTATCCAAGACACCCACATATTTTTAATTCTTATTTGTCCCTGTAATGAGGAATCAGAATTGGTATGCGTCTTCTTGGGTTGGATGAGAGTATGACTTTGGAGATAGCAAAGTGGAGGGCGCACATTCGTGTGGACGGTTGATCTCTTTTCTGTCTTTTCTCTCCCCTTTTTCTTTTATCGTTTATCTTCTTTATCTTTCTATATTCTTATGTCATTTTTATCTTCTATCTTTCTTATGTTCTTTTATCTTTTTATCTTATATCTTTCTTATGTTCTTGTGTTATTGTTATCTTAGGTTTATCTTTATCTTATCCGATTTAGCTTACTTTTTTATTTTTTATTCTTCTTCTCTTTTGACTCGGATATCATGGATCGATTCATGTTTGGGATTAAGGTTTGGATGTTGTTGTATTTGTCCCTGTAATGGGAATCATCATCTAGGTATCATAAGAAAGGGGAAGAACTGCTAAGTTTATAAGAAAAGAGTAAATTAAAAGGGGTTAATAAATGTATTTATTACACCTGCAGTATTCATCTAAGAATAAAAAATACTCGTTATAAATTTCTCTACAAAACAGTTAATAATCCATAACAAATTAGTAGTATCAAAGAAAGTAAAAATTTAACATTCTAAGATGTTTGGTGTGTCAAATTTTATGGGGGTGAATACCTTCAAAAATTTCAAGATAGATTATTTACATAAAAAAGGTTCAATATGTAATCCAAGTATCAGCTAGAGCTTGAGAGTTGTGAATAAACTGCATCTGGAGTTCTTGGCATCCTTCAAACTGAAGCATATACATTGCCACCTTGACATAAGTAATAACTAACCATGAACCAAAAAAGGGACCAAAAAGTTTTTTTTTAAAATGGTCTAGTATCTGCAGTTACTTTGCTTCAAAGGGCATATGACATTGATTCTACGTTTGATCCTTCTTTTAAATCGGAATCAGAACCAGATGTTGTAAGACAAAATGATTTGGGGGGGGGATTTGACTTTGCACCCCACTTTATGGGTAATATTGGACTTTGCACCCCGTTTTCAAACAACTTTGACTTTGCACCCCATTTCACTTAAAATCATTTGACTTTGCACCCCAGTTAAAAAAAATCTTCAAAAAATGTTATATGATGGGGTGCAAAGTCAAAGTTTTTTCAAAACAGGATGCAAAGTCCGATATTACCCATAAAGTGGGGTGCAATGTCAAATTTCCCCTTCTTTTTTTGACATTTTTTTACCGTAAGAAATAATGAATCAACTTTATGTGTTTGGATAACCCACGATGTCTATCTTAAAAAGAATGACACTCCATCCCTAAGGACCCCCCAACCCCGACCGGACGGTACGTTGGGAGGATGTAACAACAAACAACAACATCCAAGCCTTAGTCCCAAAAGATATCGGGATTGGGAGGATGTAAATTGGACTATAATCCCAATAATCTGACAGATAGAGAGTGGGGCTCTGTCCCCGGTACTTGCAGAGGCCCTATGCATATTTTAGCATAGTAACCCCTCATCGCAGTTGCCGGGATTCGAAACCGGTACCTAACCCTTGTGGCACTCTCTCGTTAACAGTTGAGCTACGCCCACCGGTACCCACGATGTCTATCTTGACATTGGAGTGTGTTGTCTTCAATCTAGGTTGACGGGATGTTACACTGCACCTCATCCCTCACCATCATTGCGGGATGAAGGTTTGTGGCGGACAGGGAGGCCCTTCTGAAGCTGCAAATAGTATTGTGGATTTGTGGTATGATCAGTGGAGCATACGTCAGTACAAATTTGACTGTGGACCGATATCCGGGCGCTATGATCAGTTATTAAGGCAGAACAACTGACTCACCCATTGAGAACGCGAGAAGGTAAGCCACATCCAACTATAAACAGGCATGTGACTGCATACAAAATAGGATGTTAAGTGTCCCAATATGATTTTTACGTATGAGGTAAACCTCACTTCTGGAGAGTCCTTTTTAGTGAAAGTTAGTCCCAATTTAATATGGTTTCAGAATCTGGTCCAGTTGTGATATGTTTGCTTATTTAGTACTTAGTAGTTTAGGATAGCCCGTTTAAGATCGATTTGGATCATATATCAACTCTCAAGTTGTCTATTCAGATTTGGTTGGGCAGGCGTGTTAAGTGTCCAACACTGAACGTTTACCATATCTATATCTAATAAGTAAGTTTGATGTAACCCTCATCTTTTGAGGATTCTTTTGGGGTGAGTTAGACCCAATTTAATAAAGGCCATGTAACCTGTTGAGATAGGAGAAGGCAAGTATACACCTGCAATGTGACTTGTACTTGAGACGATCGACCGTGATTAGAGCTTGTGGAGCCTGGTGAATGTTATTGTGGAAGAACAAAGGTTTTTTTGTCTTGTGGTTCAAGAAATGGTACCCTCCGCTGGTGTTTATTTACTAGGGGTGCTCACAGACCGGGTAAGTTGAGCGGGAGGCGAGCTGTTTGGTCAGTTGGTCATAGTACTGTTTTCGGGTGCTAGTTTTTTGGGGGTCCACAACCCAACCCGTACATACTGGGTCAGATGCTAGAAGGCGATTGTGTGATGTGATGGACAATTTGATTTTAGTGGAAACCTAAAAAGAGAAAAACTGCAGACCTTTTTAGGCAGTATCCTGCCAATGGGAGCAGGGGTAGACAAGGCACATGGTCATTTGATTATTACAGACAGGGAAGTTATCTGCCCTGTTACGGTTTGACTGATCTATCTATTAATAGGTGTAGTAAGGTGCCTAGAGTTGGTTGCTCAAGTTCCGATGCTAAAAGTCAGTCTGCCTTGAAGTGCTGACTTAGAATATATTTATAGGTTGGAACTAGCTTGCATTGGAGGTGACTAGGACGTGTGGCGTTAGTATATGTTACTATGTGGCATGTCATGTGGCAGTCAGTGGTCAAGCGGCTGCCACACAGCAAACATCAAGACATGTGGTGTGCCTGGCAACCTTGTACCGTGAACCCGGCTAGTTCATTTGATGGTGACCGCCAACGTGGTGTCCTGCTGTTGGTCTGTTGTTAGGATAGGACCTGGCCGGGCTGGATGCGGGGTCCATCAAAGTGATCGGTCCCGGTAATAATGCCCATCAGACCACCAGTACTAATTGCCAAAAACATCCAAATTTTTCTTTATTTCTTATGGGCAAATGTAGGTATTTCAAACCTTCCTGAAGCTGAGGACCTTAACGCTCTTATAGGGGCGCGCTCTGGCTTTTGTAAAACTCGAAATGACCGGTTGAGTCCACTCCTAAGACAAGTCACAACAAGACTATTGATGTAGCCTCCAGTTTTCTCGTTTCCCTGTGAGCACAAACAAAGTTAAAATTGAAGGCAGTTAAGTGTGGTGAAAGTTAATGTACTTGCAACCATATACGACACCCGTCCCAAAAAAGACTCATGTTTGGTCGATGCACGTTTTTTATTTATTATGGGTAAGGTGCAACTGTTATAATCATGGATCATATAAAAATGTATTTGTTCTTAACTAAATTTATCATAAGGAAATTGCTTATACTTTTTTGGGAAATTTGTTAATAATTTACATGAAAATATATTACGTAGTACTATTTAATCAAAGTGAACTTTTTTGGGGCAAAATATGTATTGACAAAAGTTGTGCTTGAAATAGGACTCTTTTTTGGGACATGGAGACTATGATGTAGTTGAAAGTTAAAATGCAAAGCATCATTTCAAATAAATAACTTATGAAGGAAAAAAGAAAATAGGAAGGACCTCTGAAAGTGAATAAAGGGATTAGATGCCAATGTTTACTAAATAAATTGATAGAGCTAAAATAGCATACTCTGAAGCTCCATTTGACCATACCTGTGTGTAAGAGAATGACACCAATCTTGAATTACCAAGCCACCGCAATCCCCTAACAACAGTGCTATGGACATAGAAACTAGCAGCAACAGCATTGGCAGATATGTCTATAACATCAATGGTACCACTTTGAGTTCCCAAAGCAACTAATGGAACTGCTACAGCAGGAGAGTTTCCCCCACCTTCATGGTTGTGCCACTCATTATTTAGTGCAGAGAAATTTTAGAACTCCTATCTTTGTAAATGTTGAATTAAATGAACACATAAAATGGTGAAGGATAGTACACACGTGCCAATGTAGCTGTCAGTGAAGGAGATGGAACAGCAAGCATAGTCACTGCGGAAGAAAGAAGACGAAGCTGTCCTACTAGCATCATCTGCATCAAGGGGTTAGACCTTTAGCTTCATCAACCTAAACCTTGATAAACCTAGTTTCACTCCAAAAACAATGGACCATAAGGGACAATGATAAAGGTTACTGGATAACTTATGTTAGAACATTACATTTTCAAACACAAACCTTATATGAAGCTTCATCAGTTTTAGCAGCATTTGACAGAAAGCTATTGGAAGGCAGAAACCCCATCTGATGATCTCCCTGGGTTTTACTTATATCTGTTGCAACCCTATGCTTTTTAGCATCCTTTTGTACATCTCCAGATCCTTCCGCAGTTAGGAGCCATTTCCATACTTCCCCATCATCAGAAATTGAGACTAAAGGTGTTTTAGAAATTACAAGAGATTCATCACAAGAATCAAGCGGATTATCAGAATCCAAATAAAGTGAATGATGTCCATCTGAATATAGCTTGCTGATACTCTGAAGAGTAGAATCTGAGTGGGAGATAACAACTGCAAGAACTGAGGGAGAAGGGACAGATGTACCAACTGATGGAATCAGTTCTTCCATAGAACCCATCACATATACCTGTTCGCCTCTGTTAAAAACTATGGATATTGTTATGTAGTAAAGAGAAAAGTCAAAACATTAACTTCAGAAGACAGCATGGGGTTTCAGAGACTGGAACTCAAGAGGATGCAAGGAAAAAAGGATTTAGTACAAAGAAGAAAACATTGATGTCTACTGCTCACAAAATTTAGTAAACAGAACCTCATCAATATGTTTTGTATGGCTCCTACAAACACAACAAACTTCATGGGCACAGTATGTTCATGAAATATGATAATTTTCACAATACTACAGAAGAAAAACCACAAATCTTAACATCCGAGCCTAGATGGTTTGCCCATATCTAATTTCCTAGAATATTTCCCTGTGGCAGAGTAAGCCTTCCAGAAGTACAACCAAAATTGAATTGCATAAATCACATTGCAGAGTAAGACTTTCATCTCATACAGCTCAACCAAAAATGTCCAAATACTCAATGCGCTGTCCAGACCAACACATGTATTATATTCAATAAAATGTGAAATATATTATTTTTTATTTATTTTTTTGACACTAATACAAGCATATCAAGTTAGCTCAGTTGTCTTTGTTTTTATTAAAGATTTAAAGGATCTTAAAATCATGATGCAATGCTATCATTTTGTTGTGTGTGGGTTTCGTTGGGAGTCCAATATGATGGCCCAAAAGCAGCCATAAGCCACTAAATAAATAGCCTACAGCATTCTGAATAAAAAATATATATATAATCTGAACTGTGAAGATTAACTTTGGAAACTTCGACAAAAATAGGGAAGCTTCTTTTTTAGCAGTTTTTGCATCATGTTCGACTAGATATAAATCACAATAATGTCCTATGCCCCTCTCCAATCCATTCCATTTGCATCTCCTATTTTATTCAGCCATTGAACTACCACGATAACTCCGCCATGAGATCATTTTTTGGTATCATGCAAGTGACAGCCAACACTATCACTTAGTCAGATCACTTGACATGAATCGAAATATACCCCAAAATCTTTTGGGATTAAGGCATGGATGTTGTTGTTGTTGTATTGAACTACCAAGATCTTGAACCCGCACATGTAGCTGAGTTGGTACTCGGGTGTTAAGTTTGCCACATGGACCAAGTTTCAGATCCCGTGGAATTCATTCTCCTAGGGAATACATTTGTCTACCTAAGAAACCGGTTGTTAGGGTGATTTAAACCTCTCCACAAGTCTTGGGAAGGGTAGTGGAAGGGTACCTCAGTGGGTGATTCCGCTTCGACCTTTTTTGGCAACAGAATCTTAACGAGCTGATACAACTGGTCCTTTCATGCAATCAGATGCTCTAACCAAAACACATGCTTTGGTATCATTTAGCAACGATTAGCTACCATCGGCAGGGCATTATTTCATCGAAGGACTAAATCCTAATTCAAATGGATTGAAGAATGTAAGAGGTTCAAGAGTATCTAACTCAAACATATGTCAAATGTAACACTTACTCTTTTCGCCTCCAGGTACTGAGCTTCCCGTCAAGATGAGCACAGTAAAGAACTTCAATGTTGGTATCTGGTAACACTCCCAGAAACTTCCCAACACCTCTATGCAGCACAGTAGAGTATAAAGCCGTTTCATACAGCAAATCAAACACGACCAGCTCCCTAGGAAATACCACGAAGAGGATATGCTTCCAGTGAGGTGAAAATGAGAAACGCACTATATACTTAGGGAATGTTGCCAATGCTGGAGCACCAGTGGCACCAGTAGCTGAGTCTCTCTCTAGCTTCTGCAATTCCGAGGTGTCTGTAGGGATTTGCAATTCTTTGAGTGCAACGTCATCCTCAGAATCTCCTAGGGCTTTAACGGAAAGCAAGAAACCTTTAAGACCAAGGGCGCAAAAACGCCGAGAGTCAAAGGGATCGCGACGGAGGCAGGATAAATATTCCGGAGAAGCGTCGTATTTGAAGAAACAACGCCCGGTGTAAGTATTGAACAGATTGAGATGAGAAGGCCCGGATATAGCAGCAAGGATCCAATAATCAGGTCCTGTTTGGACCCAGCAAAGGTCCTGGATCCCTAGCTTGTGACCCGAGCTGTTTTCGAAGAATATCAGAGGGGATTTAGACCTAAAATCGAGGAGACAAATGCGTCCTTGGCGGTCGCCAACGGCGATGATGAGGAAATGGCTCGTGGTTTCGGAGGGGACTAGACGGTGAGGGAGACCAAGCGGGGACCACCGCAAGGCAGTGATGAAGGGAGAGAGTGCAGGGGAAGTAACGGATGATGGGGGTAGAGGGATAGTGGTAACGAGCTGCATGGAGTGAGTTTCGACGATGGAGATTGAGCTTCCGGCGGCGTAAGCGAGAAGGCCGGTAGGGGATATGTCAGCTGCTCCGCCGTTGCTGCGGGAAGGTGGGCCCGGGAGCATGCAGTTCCATGATTCACTGGGCGGTCGGTGGACCGACATTTCGCTCTGAAACTGTGTAGGTCAAAATGCAGTACAGAATTTGGTTTCACCAGGCACGGGAGAAAAAGGTGGTTCGCCTGAGGAGGAGATCCCAACTCTCAGGCGAAGTAGAGGGATTGAAGCCGCATAGAAATACGGTTAGGTTTCAGTTTTGAACCGTTACGTACTAGGGATTCCCATAAGAAAAGGAAAATGCATGCACCTCTTTCTACTGCTCCCTCGTTTTATTTGGCACAATATTAAAGGAAAAGTAATACTACCTCCGTCTCTTAAAACTTTGCCAAAGTTGACCGATACGGAGAATAATAAAGTAAAAACTGTGTGGTTGAGGTTTGTGCAGAGGAGAGAGAAATAACACAAACCACAAAATAATTGATTAAAAGGGAATGTGGTAAAGTTTTTTGGGACGTCCCAAAAAAGAAAGATGACAAAGGTTTAAGGGGCGGAGGGAGTAGATCGAAAGTTTCCGAAAATTGAATTTAAAAGGTTTGAAAATTTCAAAATATAATTTTCATGTTTTTTATTTTCAAAATATGAATAGTTATTTTCAAGTTTGAAAAATATTGTCATATTTAAAGTCTGATACTGTCAAAACATGCAGTAATTAGTTCTATTTTGGAAATAGAAACATGATAATCCTATTTTAAAATATTCAAACGTTTTTAGTTTTATTTAAGGTAGTTTCACTAGATATAGTGAAGTGTTTAAAAAGTACAAGAGGAAGTAGAATAGTATGAAAGATAAAATAAAAATAAAAAAAGTAAAAGCAATTAATTAAGTATTTTTAAAAGAAAAACTTATCAAAAGGAAAAGTGTAGCAAACATTAAAATATAACCCAAAATAGGGGAGTACTTTGTATTATATTTAGGCTTATACATACCAACGATTTACAAGTGCATATGAAATTATGTCTCGTGATTTGTCCTAGCGACTACTGCTCATTGCTGTAAGGAAGGTTTAGATTAATGATTTTCAAATAGCATAGTTTTGGATGACTTTACTAGATTCATGAACCAATTTTCATCGAGTTTTCATCAACGGCGACTTCTATACGTAGGTTTTTGGCATTTGTTTTAGTTTTGGTGGCTATTACATCGACGATGGCTACACTTGTGGTAGCGGTGGTGAGATAGACCAGATATCCAAAGTTTGTAGAAGTGGATTTAGTGTTCGTGACGGAGTCACAAACATTTCCAACTACCACCAGATGGGTCATGACATGAGGTGATGTCGGATAAGCAGTTCACAGTTATGAGGGATATGTAGATGTTGTGCTGCCTATAAGTGTATAGAGAACGAGTTGTCTAGGTTGGCTATTTCAGCGGAGTTGGAGTTGATTGTGGATGATGATGGAAGGATATCACGAAGAGACTGGAACAAACTACATCGCTTGAATTGGCATGATTCTGGATGTAGAGCGGAAGATCCAAAAAATGGAGTTAGGGCGAGCCATGGTACCTAGACCCAAGTACCCAACTAAAGGTTGAACGTTCATATTTTATTCCGATGTTGCCTTTTAGTCAGTAGTTCTTTTTCTATTTAAAATTCAAGTCTTTATGTTTGTTTTGTTTTAAGATTTTATAAAAAAAGGATGACACCTCATCCCTGAGGGCCCCCCAACCCCGACCGGATGGTACGTTGGGAGGATGTAAATTGGACTATAATCTCAATCTGACAGATAGAGTGAGGTTTTGTTTTCGGTACTTGCAGAGGCTCTATGCATTTTTAGCATAGTAACCCCTCATCGCAGTTGAAACCGGGACCTAACCCTTGTGGCCCTCCCTTGCTGCCAGTTGAGCTAAGCCCACCGATTTGTTTTAAGATTTTATGTTTGGACATTTGGGTGCTTGTTTATGTGATAATGAGTTAGAGTGAAAGGTAGTGTTGATAATTCAATCACTTTAGGTCTATATTTGTTTTTGTCTATTCCTACAATCCTACATCATGCCATTGTGTGAGACATCATTGTCTAGATATTATTTTACATGTTCTATATATCTTATTATAAGATTTTTAACCATAAAAAGAAAAGCTTCCTTCTACTTAAATTACAACTATATCATTTCAACTTTACTCGCTATTTTTTTGATTAGGAATATGATAGAATAAAGCCAAATGGTTCACTAAACTATCTGCGCTCCTTTGTTATGAAGCAGCAGTCAATCCATGCATATCTCGACTAGGGTTGGACTCGGGTCCGGGCCGGGTCCGGGTCGGGCCTAGGCCCGGGCGGGCCGGCGGGTCAGAAATGGTGGACCCGGGACCGGCCCGGGTAACCACCGGGTCCGGGCCGGGCCGGGCCAAACCCATTATATATTTTTTTTTTTGTTTTCCTCTTCCTAATTAACCCCCCTCCCACCCCCAACCCCCCAAACCACCCCAAATGGCCCAAAATACCCAGCCCAACCTGAAAAGTTAAAAAAATTGAAAGAAAAAAAAAAAAAAAATGGCCCGAACCGGGCCTGGGCCCGGCCGGGTCGGGCCTTGTTTTGGGTGACCCGAGCCCGGACCGGAAAACCCACGGGCCGGGCCTACCCGGACCGGTCACTGAACGGGCCACCGGGTCAGGCCGGGCCGGAACAGTGCCGGTCCCGGGCCGGTTCCGGGTCGGGCCACCCGGCCCGAGTCCATCACTAATCTCGACGCAATTTTCACTATGGGTCATCCGGAAACGGTCTTTTTGTGCTTTAAGTGAAGGGGTAAGATTGTGTACATACGACCTCCTTACCCCGCCGTAGGTGGGAGCCTTTGTTATATTTCGATTTTTGTTCTAATGGCAAAACGTATACATGAGACTGAGTCTATATCTAGTACAAGATGCAATCGACACAAGTATATCTAGAATAAAACAACAATTTATTTAAAATCTAATACAAAAAAAAACAATTTGTTTAAAATCATATACGGTGGTATGTAATGAGTAATTGTTTTATATAGAAACAAAAGTAGTACATTAAATATGCCATCAAAATCAAGGATGTATAAGAAAAGTGTACAAAAAGGCTTTTTCCAAGAACAAGAAACCCTCTTTCTAAATAAACAAGATACCCACTTATAACGGGAATGGTACGATGTAAAGATCCGCTTATTGCAATGGCATGTTAATCGTGGAGACAATCATATACAGTGAAGTCATCATAAAGCAAAGATCCATCGACATAATGGAGCATGTAATAGCAAAGATCACAGAAATAACAAGGATTTTCACCAGCCCATTTATCGTCAACGGTCACCTTTTCAGCTTTGAATATTTTGCAGACAGAACATTTGTGAAGCCTCTTCTTCAACTGAAATGTTACTAATGGGTAAGCAGCTTGGTTCTGCACATCCTCTGGGTGTATCAACCTCATATCTCGTATCACCATTAGATGTTTGCAGTCGCCCTTGGGACAGGTATAAAGGAAAGAAGAATCAGCAGCATATTAATTATTGCTGTGTACATACTAATATACAATACTCCTTTTTTATTTAATTGCTCCTATAGGACTTTAGATATGAGTAGTTAGAGAGATGATAAAAAAGTAAAAACAAACAAAAGAGCAGGATATAGAAGATAAAACGAGTAAAGCTTGACAAATTAAGAAAAGTAGAAAATAAAAAAACACTTCCCAAAAAGGAATAGAGAGAAACTCATAGAGAAATGGAGTATTAGAAACGATGATGAGAAAAATGAAGGCTAGTCTTCATACTAAACTAAAATACCTCCAACTAAAATATCACCAGTGTGCTTGAGTATTTATCTACTGAACTAAAATGCCTCCAACTATGATAGGGACCTACCTATTAGTTTAATAATAGAAAGAATAATAATAATAATAATAATAATAATAATAATAATAATAATAATAATAATAGTAATAAGGGCTTATGTAGTATTCTGGTATAAATAGACATCTAAGGGGGAGTTACAGGAGGCTTTTGGACTCTTTGTCTTGGGACTTGGGAAGACTGAGACTAATAATCTCTTTCTTTGGGAGCTTCGGCTTTTGGGGGCTTCGGCCATAGTTTCTTGTTACATGTTCTTGATCAATAAAGTTGCAGATTGTTAGTTTGATACTTTCAGAGATTTAACTGTATATTTGAGCTGGTTCTAACATTGGTATCAGAGCTGTTACATCCTGGAGACAAAGAATCTGAATCATGGAGGAGGATTTCTACATGACACCGCAAATGGAAAAGAGTTTTGATAATATTGACAGAATTATGAGGGAGACACAAGCGAGTATGGTCGCGTCGCAAGAAAAGATGAAGACGATGATGGTCTCTATGCAGGCTGGCTTCGCGGACATGATAAACAAACTTCAAAGTCGGTCGCGGAACCGATCGCATGCGTCACAATCATCACATCGCGACTCTCATCATCACACACGGAAGTCAGCAAGTTCAGAAGAATCCGAAGAACAGAGACATCGCAGAAAATCTGGAGAACGATCGAGGAAAACTAGGTCTTTTCCGCTACCTGACAAACAAGGTTCGTCGCATCGCTCTTATCGTCTCTTTCCGATAAATGACGAAGTAAGCTCGTCACCACCACTCCCAAGATCGCAAACAGAGTCGTGCAAGGTTTTTCTTAGTTCGCAATCGCGAACTTCTTCATTACGTTCGCAGGAATTATCGCTAAGCAAGCTGCGAACAACAACAACAACAGATTTCAATCCGCAGGCATCCCCAATCGCGATGAATTCACATAACAGGGCAACACGATCAAGAGAGGAATATTCATGTTCGCCAGTGCTTTTGTTAAACGTTTCTCAACCTGAGCTAGATTATCACCAGTCGATAAAGAAAACCCAACTGAAGTTCTCGGAATTAATAATCAAGGAATTACCGGAAGAGGAAAAGAATGAGCAATATTCTGTAACAGGAGGAACTGAAGCAGGTACAGTTGTTGGAATTCTATGTCGTTCACAAGTGTCATCTATTTCAGGAACCATAAACTTAGTCGGTTCAAAAAAAAAGATTACAAGGCTCTTCATCATTGGCAAGAAACACTGAGTTGAAGTTGTCAGAATTGAAAGAGCTGGAGGAGGAAGTCACTAACGCAGATAAGTCAAAAAGGACAGGAGTGTTTGCTCGTGCTGAAACAGAATACTTATCAATTCCATGGAGGGAGAAGTGTGCTGCTTATACTCAAAGTCAAGACCAAAATCTGGTGGGTGCAGGCTTTGAATTATTCTGGGATGCCTTAGCAATGCGATTGGT